GCACCCATGGGTGCGGGGTGGGGTGAACAGTCAAGGTGCCACCTCCGGAGGGTGCCAGGAGGGTCTGTGGGGCGCTGTGGGGATCAGTGGGGTGCTATGGGGCTGCTATGGGGCGCTATAGGGCACAGCGGGGTGCTATGGGGATCAGTGGGACGCTATGGGGCACAGCAGGTTGCTATGGGGCACAATGGGGTGCAGTGGGGCACTATGGGGCACAATGGGGTGCTATGGGGTGCAGCGGGGTGCTATGGGGCACTATGGGGTGCAGCGGGGTGCTATGGGGATCAGTGCGGCACTATGGGGCTGCTATGGGGCGCTGTGGGGCACAGTGGGGTGCAGTGGGGCACTATGGGTTTCTATGGGGATCGGTGGGGTGCTGTGGGGCACAGCAGGGTGCTATTGGTCGCTATGGGGCACAATGGGGCGCTATGGGTTGCTATGGGGCACAGCGGAGTGCTATGGGGCACAATGGGGCGCTATGGGTTGCTGCGGGGATCAGTGGGGCACTATGGGTTGCTATGGGGCACAGCGGGTGCTATGGGGCACAATGGGGCGCAGCGAAGTGCTATGGGGAGCAACGAGGCGCTATGGGGCACAGCGGAGTGCTACGGGGCACTATGGGGCACAGTAAGGTGCTATGGGGTGCTACGGGTTGCGATGGTGCGCTATGGGGCACAGTGGGGAGCTGTGGGGCACAGTGGGGAGCTATGGGGTGCTGTGGGGCACAGCGGGGTGCTATGGGGTGCCATGGGGCACAGCGGGTTGGGTCTCTATGGGTTCCTATGGCTTCCTATGGGTCTCTATGGGTAGCTGTGGGTTCCCATGGTCCCTATCACTTCCTATGGGTTCTTGTGGGTCCCTATGGGTCCCTGTGGCTTCCTATGGGTCTCTATGGGTCCCTATGGCTCTCTATGGGTTCCATATGGGTCCTTATGGGTCCCTGTGGGTCCCTATGGGTCCCTGTGGCTTCCTATGGGTTTCTATGGGTCACTGTGGGTCCCTATGGGTCCCTACAGTCTCTATGGGTCACTGTGGGTCCCTATGGCTCTCTATGGGTTCCTATGGGTCACTGTGGGTTCCTATGGGTCTCTATGCATCCCTATGGGTCGCTGTGGGTTCCCATGGGTCCCTATGGGTTGCTGTGGGTCTCTATGGGTCCCTATGGGTCACTGTGGGTCCCTATGTGTCTCTATGGGTTCCCATGGGTCTCTATGCATCCCTATGGGTCGCTGTGGGTTCCCATGGGTCCCTATGGGTTGCTGTGGGTCTCTATGGGTCCCTGTGGATCTCTATGGGTTCCTATGGCTCTTTATGGGTGCCTGTGAGTCTCTATGGGTCCCTATGGGTCCTTGTGGCTTCCTATGGCTCTCTATGGGTCCCTATGGCTCTCTATGGGTTTCTATAGGTATCTATGGTTCCCTATGGGTCTCTATGGGTTCCTATGGCTCTTTATGGGTCCCTATGGGTTCCTGTAGGTCTCTATGGGTTCCTATGGGTCCCTATGGATCTCTATGGGTCACTGTGGGTTCCTATAGGTCCCTATGGGTCTCTATGGGGTTCCTATGGCTCTCTATGGGTCCCTATGTGTGACCCTATGGGTCTCTATGGGTCCCTATAGGTCCCTATGGGTAGGTGTGGGTTCCTATGGATCTCTATGGGTTTCTATGGGTCCCTGTGGGTCTCTATGGATCTCTATGGGGTCCCTATGGGTCCCTGTGGCTTCCTATGGGTTCCTATGGGTCCCTATGGGTCGCTGTGGGTCCCTATGGATCTCTATGGGTCCCTACGGTCCCTATGGGTCGCTGTAGCTTCCTATGGCTCTCTATGGGTCACTGTGGGTCCCTGTGGATCTCTATGGCTTCCTATGGTTCTATGGGTCGCTGTGGGTTCCTATGGGTCCCTATGGCTTCCTATGGGTCTCTATGGGTCCCTGTGGCTCTCTATAGGTTCCTATGGGTCTCTATGGGTCCCTACGGGTCCCTATGTGTCTCTATGGGTTCCCATGGGTCTCTATGGGTCCCTATGGCTCCCTATGGCTCTCCATGGGTTCCTATGTGTGACCCTATGGGTCACTGTGGGTTCCTATGGATCTCTATGGGTCCCTATGGGTCACTATGAGTTCCTATAGGTTGCTGTGGGTCCCTATGGGTCTCTATGGGTCTCTATGCATCCCTATGGTTCCCTATGACTCTCTATGGGTCCCTATGGTTCCCTATAGCTCTCTATAGGTTCCTATGGGTCTCTATGGGTCCCTATGGGTCGCTGTGGCTTCCTATGGCTCTCTATGGGTCACTGTGGGTTCCTATGGGTCTCTGTGGCTCCCTATGGCTTCCTGTGGGTCACTGATGGGTTCCTATGGGTCGCTGTGGGTCCCTATGGGTCCCTATGGGTCTCTATGGGTTCTTGTGGGTTCCTATGGCTCTCCATGGGTCCCTATGAGTTCCTATAGGTTGCTGTGGGTCTCTATGGGTCTCTATGGCTTCCTATGGCTCTCTATGGGTCCCTATGGATCTCTATGGTTCCCTATGGGTCTCTATGGGTTCCTATGGCTCTCTAGGGGTTCCTATGGGTCCCTATGGCTCTCCATGGGTCCCTGTGGGTTCCTATGGATCCCTATGGGTCCCTGTGGCTTCCTATGGGTTTCTATGGCTCTCTGTGGGTCCCTATTGGTTCCTCTGTGTCTCTATGGGTCCCTATGGGTCTCTAGTCACTGTGGGTACCTATGGGTTCCGATAGGTTGCTGTGGGTCCCTATGGGTCTCTATGCATCCCTATGGGTTCCTATGGGTCTCCATGGGTTCCTATGGGTCTCCATGGGGTTCCTATGGGTCACTGTAGGTTCCTATGGCTCTCTATGGGTACTGTGGTCCCTATGGGTCTCTATGGGATGCTGTGGGTCTCAGTGGGTCACTGTGGGTTCCTATGGATCTCTATGGGTCCCGATGGCTCTCCATGGGTTCCTATGAGTTCCTATAGGTTGCTGTGGGTCCCTATGGGTCTCTATGGGTCCCTATGGCTCCCTATGGGTATCTATGGGTCCCTATGGGTATCTATGGGTCCCTATGGGTATCTATGGGTCCCTATGGGTTTCTATAGGTATCTATGGTTCCTTATGGGTCACTGTGGGTTCCTATGGGGTCCCTATGGGTCGCAGTGGGTCCCCACCTTCTCAGGCCAGGAGTCGGGGGGCGCGGGCAGGATGTGGGCGATGAAGGGGCTGTCCTTGATGTCCTCGTCGTCGCAGACCACGTGGACGGCGTAGTCCCCGGGCTCGGTGGGCCAGTAGCGCACGTCGCAGGAGCCGTCCCCCCGGTCCTCGCACTCGATCTTGGCCTGGGAGGGGCCCTCGATGGAGAACCCTGGGGACACGGGGACAACCCCACCGGTGACGTCATCACCCGGGTGACCGCACCCCCCTGGTGTCACCTCACCCCACCATGGGGTTGGTGGTGGCATCTCATATCTCCGTGTCCCTACGGTGGTGGCACCCCACATCTCCGTCAAGGTGTCCCTCAGCCTCTCCCCGTGTCCCCAGGGTGGTGGCATCTCGTGTCCCCATGTCCCCAAGGTGGTGGCATCCCATGTCCCCATGGTGATTCCACCCCAGGTCCCCATGGTGGTGGCATCCCATGTCTCCATGTCCCCATGGTGGTGACCCCCTAGACCTTATCTCCATCAAGGTGTCCCTTACCCTGTCCCCATGGTGGTGCCACCCCATGTCCCCATGTCTCCATGTCCCCAGGGTGGTGGCACCCCATGTCCCCAAGGTGGTGGCATCCCCATGTCTCCATGTCCCCAGGGTGGTGACCTCCTAGACCTTATCTCCTTCAAGATGTCCCTCAGCCTGTCCCCATGTCCTCAGGATGGTGCCACCTCATGTCTCCATGTCCCCAGGGTGGTGGCCCCCTAGTCCTTATCTCCCTCAAGGTGTCCCTCACCTTGTCCCCATGTCCCCATGGTGGTGGCACCTCATATGTCTCCATCTCCATGTCCCCAGGGTGCTGCCACCCCATGTCCCCAAGGTGGTGACCCCTTAGTCCTTATCTCCCTCCAGGTGTCCTTCTGCTTGTCCCCACGTCCCCATGGTGATGCCACCCCATGTCTCCCTCAAGGTGTCCCTCACCTTGTCCCCATGTCCCCATGGTGGTGGCACCTCATATGTCTCCATCTCCATGTCCCCAGGGTGCTGCCACCCCATGTCCCCAAGGTGGTGACCCCTTAGTCCTTATCTCCCTCCAGGTGTCCTTCTGCTTGTCCCCATGTCCCCAGGGAGGTGACACCCCATATGTCTCTATCTCAGTGTCCCCAAGGTTGTGCCACCCCAGTCCCTATCTCCATCAAGGTGTCCCTCACCCTCTCCCCATGTCCCCATGGTGGTGGCACCTCATATGTCTCTATCTCCATGTCCCCAAGGTGGTGCCACTCCAGTCCTTATCTCCTTCAAGGTGTCCCTCACCCTGTCCCCATGTCTCCAGGGTGGTGGCACCCCATATGTCACTATCTCCATGTCCTTATCTCCATCAAGGTGTCCCTCACCCTGTCCCCATGTCCCCAGGATGGTGCCACCTCATGTCCCCATGTCCCCACGGTGGTGACCCCCCAGTCCTTATCTCCCTCAAGGTGTCCCTCACCCTGTCCCCATGTCCCCAGGATGGTGCCACCTCATGTCCCCATGTCCCCACGGTGGTGACCCCCCAGTCCTTATCTCCTTCAAGGTGTCCCTCACCTTGTCCCCATGTCCCCAGTGTGATGACACCCCAGTCCTTATCTCCATCAAGGTGTCCTTCTGCTTGTCCCCATGTCCCCAGGTGGTGACCCCCTAGTCCTTATCTCCATCAACATGTCCCTCACCCTGTCCCCATGGTAGTGCCACCCCAGTCCTTCTCTCCCTCAAGGTGTCCTTCTCCTTGTCCCCATGTCACCAGGATGGTGACACTCCATATGTCTCCATCTCCATGTCCCCAAGGTGGTGACACCACAGTCCTTATCTCCCTCAAGGTGTCCCTCACCTTGTCCCCATGTCGGTGCCACCCCATGTCCCCAGGGTGGTGGCCCCTTAGTCCTTATCTCCCTCAAGGTGTCCCTCACCCTGCCCCCAGAGAGCTGCCACCCCACATCCCCCCCCCAACCCCCCCACATCCCCATC